CCTTCTTGATTTCAGTAACACTATACCAACTGTTTCACAAGAATGCTGGGTTGTGAACAAAACTTTCCCAGGCGGGACTAGAACCGCACCTCTCGTTTGTGTGAGTGCTGAAAGCTATGGTACGTATACCATGAAAAGCTGAGTTGGAATGAAATGGTGCCCCGGTAGCGTAACTGGTAGCGCACTTGCCCGGAAAGCGAGAGGTGCGGGTTCTAGTCCCGCCTGGGGCGAAAGTTTTGTTCACAACCCAGCATTCTTGTGAAACATTCGCAAGGCGAACTGCGGCCAAAAACAGCAGTTAACAAACAAAAACAAGTCAAAAATACGCGATATTGATTTTATTCAAGACCGTCGTCGCTGTATGGGCTAGTGGTCCGCAAATGCGACATGTCTCATCGACAGAAACACATTGTATGAGAATTCACTGTTATATTCTCGGAAAAGGTTTTTAGAACGTTTTATTTATTTTTTTTCAGAGCCCAAAATATTCGAATCGGCGCTTCTCAAGGTTTTGAGAGCTGATCCGATGTGAACAAATGATGAAATATAAATAAGGAAGTATTTTCCCAAACATCCTCTCCACCCGTGCTATGATCAACAGCCTTGAGTGGTTTGCTGTGAACACTCGTTCTCCAAATGTGGAAGAATAGTTACCAGTTTTCATCTTCCTTGCTTATTGCGTATTCCACTTTGTCAGTTTTTTGACTACTCCTTATGGTTAGGGTTGTTCATCTGTAGGGGGCCAAGGATATCGCACGGAAAAACGAATCGTCTCGAAAATCACAGTCTACCTTAGCAGTGACAGATTTTGGATGGCTGAGCGGAATATACCTTTGAACGATAATCCGCTGAGAGAGTCATATTTGACGTCCTGATGGAAGCATAAAGGATAAAGCATTTGCCGTTGATCAATCCCTTTTTGGGATGCGGCACGCATTCTACTTCCATTTGTACATTCGTAGTGGCGTTTGAATGCGATGTGGCCTATACAATGACTTGCGGGGCCAGCCGATGTACAAGTCAGTGTTTTTATCCTCCCAGACAAGTCTGGTACCAATTAACCGACCCCGGAGGGATGGAAGGCTTGGTTGGCCCGGGCGACTCACGACCCAGGATTTGATCCCCGGACCGCTCGCGTGGTAAGCGTGCCACTTGCCACTACACCACTGGTCAATTCTAATGGAACTATTGCATCAACTCTTATCTTTGCCTAACAGAGTAACGAGGGCTGCGTTCTGAACGAGTTTAACTTGGAGCAAACTTGCTCAATTCCGCCAAATCTCCCTGCTAATCGCAAGCATTACGCCCCGTAATGATTATGTTGCATCGCAAGCATTACACCGTTAATGATTAATGTGGAATCTACCCGGCTCGGCTACGCTGATTTTCTATCCAAAGAGCAAGGCGAAGTGCCGCAATCACCGCATGGATGGAGCACGGATGATGAATGACACGTAAATGTTAGGCGTCATAGTGCTTCGGCTTAGTCGGCTTCGATCAGATTTTTTGGCAATGGGGAGCATTTGAGGGCGTAGAAAAAATATAAGGATTGGAAGGTTGAGTGGTAGGAATTGGGAGTGTTGTTAAGATGGCGGCGGTAATGCGTCATTCGCTCCGAGTTCCTGGGGCGTATTGGAAGAATAATAACCCCCCGGGGCAGCCGGTGAACGCTGTGGGGGAAGTGTGAAGCTTCGGCATCTTTCGAGTTTTTGAAGCCCGATCCTTTTTCAAGTTGCCTCGCATTAGGGCTTCTTTCCTATGTTCCTGCATGGGGCGGATTAGTTTGTTTAGCATCGTTCGCAATGCTTCATCTCCCCTGGGCTGGCGAGTTTTTTTTTATTTATGTTGTATTAGCGTGATTTGGGGTTGGTAATTTCGGCTCCCAGCAACAAATGATTCGTGAATTCAGACCGAATGAAGCCCGTTGCGACGACCAGATGCAGAGCGGCAGTGCAGTGGTGGTGGCCCACAACCATGCAGCTTTAGATACGTGGTGGTTGAGGGGCATAGGAAGAGGGATTGATTTTTCCTTCTTCTGTATGCTCTAAGTGCATGCCCCGATTTAGTTTTTGGATATTTTTCAAATTCGCGTGAAGGGTAGAAACATTTAATAGTTCGATCTGGCCAAACGGCGTATCGACGAGACTGACTAATTTCACAGACCTAGACAGTTCAGAATAACTCGACTAGCTTGCGTCGTACTCATAGAATGTTAGATAGCCCATTTTTGGATCAATTATTCTTAAGCAACTAAGAAATTCATTATCCCCATAGAAGACAATGGACCAGTTACAGAACCACCATGAGCAACCCGTAATCTTACTACATAAGTTCGCTTCGGATTAGCGATAATGCGTGGCAAAGGGGTGACTATTACGTAGTGGGTTGTGTGGGAATAGCACAAATGGGGTGGACGCGTGTCCAATGTAAGTTGGAAAATATTTGTAAAGAAGAATGGTGATATGACTCGACTATGGACTATGGTTCTACTTGGGGTGTTGTTTAAGTGAAATCCAATTTCGTGAATGAAAACGCAAACACTTCGTATAGATATTCGCGTGCCGCAGTGCTACTTCTGGGCGGTGAGTGTGCGTTGGAATGTTTACACTGAGTTATGACTTACTGTTGTGTCGGATATGGGTGCGGAACAAGACCGTTTCTATTCTTAATGTAATTTTCCGCGGGTAGCGACCTAGATAGCTCTTCTTACTTCGAGGTATGCGTCATTCTCTAGTACCATCCTTTATGACTGTTACCCTAACAAATACGGATTTTTTTTTGTGGGAGGAGATGGTGTGTTGGAGAAAGGGCCAGGCTTGACGCCAACATAAGAATAAAATACAAACGACGCAACTTGAAGAAAAATTCATACTTTCGTTCGTGAACGTCCACTGCTTCCACTGAGAGGGCATGGAATTATCTCATATCCGAACTTGGAAATGAGCTCAAAGGGGATTATCAATGCACACTATTAATAACTCGGGCAAGGCCCATCATTAATAGTTACGAGAAAGAAAGAGGATATTTGTTGACGTGGTGCTTCACCTGGGTACACCAGTGCTTGCGAAAAAGCCAGAGAAATTCTTCAAGGAGACGCAAATGCGAACTTTTTTTTTGGCCGTTGGCTGCATCTCAACAATGGTAACAAGTCGCAAGGTGGAGTTATGAACGAGTTCACCACAAACGCGTTTTGTGGCAACCATTGCCAATCAAAGCTCAATCGAGATGCTCCATTTGCGCAACTGCTCTGCTAGCACGCAGCTCGTCCAAATCAACAACTAAACTAGTGGGCGGATCGCTTTTGGGCGGAGTGCTTTCGAAGTCCTGCTCAGCAACAGCGCACCTTTCGTCGTGAAAGCGCCACATTCGCTTCCTTGGCAGCCAAGTAACTGCTTCGTGTGGTGCATATGCTTCCGATGGCTCCTCTTGTATCGTATCGCTTCTTAATCAACTTTCAGACTAATTGAGCAATGAATTCTTATGGTCAGTTAGGGAATGCGTTATGTGTGCCTATGGAAGAGCGACGCACGGGTTCGCGCGGTTAGTATTGAGTCTATATATAGAGCCAATTTCACTGGTTTTCGATTTGGGCACCTAAAAAATCCATGTAATACGAATCGTTACGCCTTATAGTAAATTCATGGACGCGGTTTCAGGTAGGCTGAATCCGAAATCGGCATTTTGGTCGTCGAAAGCGTCCTCGGCACAAGACATCGAGGTAATTAGTTATCACTATCAAATGTAATTGAGTGTATGAGTTATGAGTGTTAACAACATGTTCTTGCGTTTGCGCTGCAAGCACAACTTTATAAAGAAGGACTAATAAATCAGATGCTTTGAGAATTCCCCTTACTTTTTAAAACCCATTGTGGATTTTTTGTGGTCATAAATTACCCTTCTAAAATGGTCACGTTGGAACTTCAGCTTTTTATTGAGTTATGCATGCTCCTAGCAAGAATCCGAGAAAACGAGCAACTATCTCAAGATTACAGCCCGTCATCGATGATGAAGGGGCAGGGAAATTGAATTGTTCTCGATCCAGCCAATTTCAGCCATGACTTTCGCCCCTTTGTCAATCGACGAATTTTCGGCGGCACTTGTCAAGTCAGCCGGAGATTCTCACGGAGACATGTCTGTAACAGGTGACAACGGCGCGAAACTTTTGGTGGGGTTATTTTAGCGAGATACTCCAAGAACACCTGACGTTCACGCTGAAAGCTCCTAGGCAGGGCGATGACTGGATACTGTATAGATAATTTTTAACGAAGGAAAAATAATTCATTCATCACCCTTTTTCCGACTGAAGTCACACCGAAGCTAACAACGGGTTCAGGCTACAGAAGCGAGCACGAAAACGTTATTTTTTTTTCAGAATTTTGAAGAAGCGCATGCTTCCATGAGGCAATTTTTTATATGGGCTCTATCTCCCCTCCCTTGCGGATCCAAGCCAATTTAGTTTTAGAATTTGTAGTACAGATTCAGGTCGGTCCTAAACAGTTTTCATGAAACAAGAAGGAGACTTGCTTGGGAGTGAGTGATGGGAAGATGACAATATCAAAAAAAGCCCGACATCAGAAACTTCGAGACACGGTCGATATTGCGATTCCAAGAGAGCTCTCTTAAAATGAGAACAGAGGGTTCACAAGCTCAGTAGCCGCCTACACTGCAACGACTTAGAAAGTACGCAACCGATTGCGAAACGCTGTCAAGCGCTTGCCGACCCTAATTTTCCAAATGGTTTCCTGTCTAATTTTCGAGCAAACATGACATACCATTTCGGTCCCGATCCGTGCCTTTACGTTCCGGTACTATGTGAACTGGCTTTAATGAGGAAGCGAGGAATATCAATAGTTTTTTGCAAGCCTAAAGGCTATACTGGCCCTAAATGCAGGTCTTAAACGCTATACTCAAAGTGCTTTGAAGCTTGTAAACTCTTTTGATTCTGAGCAGCTAGTCTTTTTCTGTGACGTCAAAGCAATACGGTAACGAGTGCATGCGACTTATTTATGGAAAATCGATGCAATTTTCTCCTCGAAATTTCCTGGAAACTCACCGATTTTCAACTCCTCGACCATAGTAATACAATTCGAGTCGTCTCCACAGTACGCGAACGGTACATCAGCACCTCGTGTCATTGGACTCCTGAAATGAAAATGAGAAAATCATTTGGTAAACTGCTATTCCGTGGAATATGGAAGACTAGGAAGACGTACCGGCATGCGTCCGTGAACGCTCTCGGCTCCACATATATCCTTGAATAGCCGGCGAATTGCCATGTGACACCGTAATACCGTGACATGCAGCTATAGCATCGATTCCCACCTGAAAAAGATAACTTGGTTTTCTTCTTGAAATCTATTTAATAATTATTTAGTAACATAAGGGCTACCATTTTGGCTTAGAATCCCTACTCAAAAAGGGATCTTTAATTTTTTTTGCGGTGAGTTCCTTGAAGAAAGTTAGAGGGTAGAGGCAAATGCACAATCTGGAGCATCCCTATTACTAAACTAAATATGAAACAAATAAATAAATAAATAAATAAATAAATAAATAAATAAAGGATAAAGGATAAAGGATAAAGCATTTGCCGTTGATCAATCCCTTTTGGGATGCGGCACGCATTCTACTTCCATTTGTACATTCGCAGTGGCATTTGAATGCGATGTGGCCTATACAATGACTTGCGGGGGCCAGCCGATGTTCAAGTCAGTGTTTTTATCCTCCCAGACAAGTCTGGTACCAATTAACCGACCCCGGAGGGATGGGAAGGCTTGGTTGGCCCGGGCGACTTACGACCTAGGATTTGATCCCTGGACCGCTCGACCATGGTTACGCGTTGCCAGCTTACCATGACGCCACTTCCGCCCTAAATAAATAAATGTATTTATAAATGTTTAGCTGCTATACTGTGGTCAAAGGTTGGTGGAACTTCCACAAAAACTGCAGCGACGGAGGAAAACTCTGACGCAATGCGTCAAGAATCTGACAAGGTTTCAATCACTTTGGCTGGGAAGCCCCATCAAAAAACGCGATTTCTGTTTTTCTCGACAGGTTCCAGAAATCAAAATAGAGGGGAGAAGTGAAAATGTAAATCATAGATCATCATTGTACCTAATATTTCTTATTACGGCATCGTTATTAGGTCTTCTTGGCCAGCAAACCATGTGACGGTTCAAAACAATGATTTTACTCAACAAAAGCGTTTTTTCGGAGGAGGCAGTGAATTAATTCTAAGTACTCCTATCCGCAAACTATGCAGAAAATTCGAGGAAGCGAAAAAGTGCAAATTTAGAAATAGATTATGAAGTGAATTATGGCTTCCTCTAGGATTCTTCTAAGGTTTCGTAATCCGAAGAAGTTCATCAGAAGTCATAAAATAAGCGCACGGATTACGAGCTTGCGATTTGCTCAAAGAAGTACAAGCACAATGAGGAGGAAACAAGTTGCTAGTGAGAGACACTACTGCAAAACTAACACTCCTCAAATTTATGATGACTGATTTAGGAAAATGGACGTTGCTGCGTTGGGCGCTTCTGAGTTATCCAACAGAGATCATGCCCTGTTTTGCAGAAGGATTTGGCAGGAAAAAAACATGAAAATACAGGATGAAAGGTGAAGAATGCAATACGTTGGTATTTTCAAAGTATAAGCCTCATCGATTTTTTTAGAGGCCAAAAATTGTGGAAACCCTCGAGGCATTTGTTCCTTAAAGCAAAGACGGAAAATACTTAGTGCTTCTGTAAGGTCAAGCAACTAAGCTCGTCAAATACGCCTATAAGTGTGGACATTGATTTGTGGACCCCCTTGGGTGTGTAGCAAGTGGGAAAGATTGAAGTTTTTTTCGAATCTTATTAGGGCTAGGGCTTGCGAATTAGTGAGGGCGAAAGTGACCTTAACTTGTGACAAAAAGTTCGTGCTCGAGTATGCCAGTTATGTTTAAACCAGATAAATACCCAATGGTAACACCAAGATAACATAACAGATTGGAAAGATATTGTAAAGGTAGAGTATATGATCCAGAATGGAAAAGGGGCTACATATGGAATAGCAGTCATTTAATTTATACGATGTACCGAGGCGGAGTACAGGGGGGGGGGGGGCAATAAAAAAAGACATTTTGTCTCCAGACTCAAATGGATTTAATCACACTTTGCTCAGCTCAAAGCGTGTGCTCCCAACTTAGAATTGAAGAGCGCATTTCATTTCATAAGAAAATCTTCATAGTGGCCATCTACGTGGACGGCATCAGAAAAGTTTGCCCCGGAAACATGGTGCTCTGGTCGAGCTCAATGGGGTTCTCGACTGATCGTGTACCGTTACGACGGGTTCCGAAGGGCGGGTTCCGAGGGGGTTTGCATAGTTAGAGCTAATGTCCCTAGGAAACTATCCCACGTTGAATCGATCCAAGAAATTATGTAAGAGCTTCAGGCTGAAGCAGTTACTGTAGGCCTCCCTGAGCTCGACGACGGTGACAGATGACGTCATATTCTGAAGACGGTGAGGGTAGTGAAGGAGGCGTGTACTTATAGAGAGGACATTTCTGCTTGGAGAACTCCCGTCAACGAAGGCAATCTCTGTGAAAAACGAAGTGCGACCTGGGCAAAATGTCTTTTTTTGGCCCCCTGTAAATACTAGTTGCCGGGATGTGGTTCACTAGGACAGAAAGACGCTTTTTGCAGCGCGAAACGTTTTCGCTGAAGGAACTCCAGGTCCCTCATGGTTGGGAGTAGACCTGGAGTTTTTGTTTAGCGAAAAAAAGTGAAAAATCTCCCTTTCATTCCTAGCGAAATACACCCTAGTTGCTGCGCTGTCGTCAATGTGCTAACATGCATGGAGCGTCATGCACGTAGTTAGCATTTTATTCTACTTTCGTATACTATTTACTACAGTAGCACTCTAGAGCTCCACTAGGTAAGGCTGGTGTCAGAGTCCGCGATCCATCGCGCGAATCGCGCGACGGTTCACAGAATCACAAGTGCCCCGATCAATACTGCGAGGTGCTCTCCAATCCCGCCGCCATTTCTGCTTGATGGTGATGGTTGAATGACGACTGTTCATGATTCTACTTGTTTCATATTCAGTGTTTGTTCAAATGGGGCACTTGCGATTTTTGCGATTCGCGCGAATCGCGCGACGGATCGCGGACTCTGACACCAGTCTAACAAAAGTTAATACTCAGCAAAAGAAGGATAATCAACTACTGAATGTGCAGACAAATCAATAAATCAATCGATGACCTAGTTGGGGAAGCAGTCGTCGCGGTGGTGCACACCATGTTCGCATCCTTTGCTGCAAAATGAGGAATTCGTGGCCAGGAGAAGTGTGGGCAGTTAGGGGGTTGGGGGTGGGGGCAGTCACTTGACATGCGTGAAAAGCTGGAATGTTCGAGTTTACACTGTCTCGCTCGAGAGGACCCAGGTGAGCAGACGCCGCGCCGCCGACTGCTGCCCCCACCCAACTACGTTAGCGCGTAAAAACGATGAAATGGAAATCAAACCTCGTGATGATGCGCCGCCGCTCTGCGAAACATAACCAGCAAAGAGTTCCCTGATGAATAGTAACAAAACTGCTATCCGAGGTAACATTTTGCATTTTCAGCTCAACGTCAGCAAATCAGAACACATTACTGAAAGCATTTGGTGTACAATTTGGAAACGAGGTAAGTATTCGCGAAAATCGTGTTAGATCAATGGACTAAAAACTGAAGGCTGGTCCATTCTCATGCAGAGTGCAAAAACCACGCAGAAGGCGACGAGTGGCGAGCTGGGAGGAAATACAACAACGAAGTCAACCTTATGGCCAGCTTCAGAGCGAAACTTTCAGACCTTTGCAATATACGGGGCATTCTCTAGGATAAAGTCCATAGGACAGAGACAGAAGCTCTAGGGAACCCGCGAAATGGCGCACACACAGCTTGGAGTTCTTCTTTCTTTCTCGTTACCCCCTCGCCTTCCATCTAAAAGCCATTAAAGTCCCGTTTCTCAACAAAAACATTTTCAAGCGGTCTCAAGTGCATTGCCATCACAATGCCCCCGCATATTGCGATAGCGCCTTTTCGACTGGTTGAACTCTGAACTTTAGTCCTTACCTATTTTGCGTACTACCGCAAAAAGGCAGCTGTAAAAACAAAAGAATAACCAACAATTACAAATAAAATGAATCAGCGGCTTATAGTGAGGGAAATGGAACAGTTAGCTCTTAAAATCCAAAACACTTTAGGCCTCTTGAAATAATATTTAGAACTTGTGAAATTCAGGCTGCTTTTTTGATCGGATCCTGCATAGGCCCAACGAGTATTCATTCAGGTGTCATTAGAAGCACAGCTCGCAATTAGATCCTCGTTGTTAGGGAGACGTTCTCTCTTTCAGCGAGGTAGCAGGACCCCTAGTCACGTCGGTGATGGTACTTTCGCGAATTGAAATTGTGCGAAAGAGAGCAAAACCTTTGCTCGACCCGACTCGACAGCACGGCGCCACTCCGCACCATGTGGCGTCCTGCGCTTTCGCGGACGACGCCCTGCTTCTTCGTCCCCCCAGTTATCCTCTCCTCGCGAATACTGAATTGTCGTGCGCGTCGCCTCCAAGACGAACAAATGCACAGCTACCGTTACTACACTTCCATGGCAGCTGGTCCCTTGTGCTACACGCCTTTATTCTACCTATAGCCAGATAATTCGAATTTTCCACAACTTACGGTCTATATCTCAATGTGTTCAGGAAGTTTTCGAAGCAAACGAAAACATACTATCAGAGTAGGATCGTGGCTCACCAGATCGCTAATCGTGCCAGTTTCAAAGCCCCTGGTGTCCAGCTGTCAATTCACCTAATCCCCGAATTTCTCGAAAGAAATTGACTCAATTTGGGCAAATACAGGTGCTGGTGGGTTGGGGGGGGGCCACGCGGCGGCGCGGCAGTCTGCTCGCCTGGCATGTTCGGAAATCCGTGGGCCAGGGGGAGTGTAGGCAGTCTAGGGGGGGGGGTGGGGCAGTCACTTGACATGCGTGAAAAGCTGGAATGTTCGAGTTTACACTGTCTCGCTCGAGAGAGCCCAGGTGAGCAGACTGCCGCGCCGCCGCGTGCCCCCCCCCCCCCCCCCCCAACCCAAGTTAGCACCCAACTTCCATATTTCAGCTGTGTGAGAAAATTCTAATTGGATCTTCAGGGTAAAGCAAAAAAGTGGTTGAGGGCTCCCATTTTAGAAAGAACCTTGAGAAAGGAATAGCTGACAGAATTACATACTGAAAAATTCGAAAATCGGGCGAAACCAAAGTGCAGAATAGATTGTCATTCCATCAATTGCGTAATGCTGGAATAGATGTGGAAACAAACATTCTGTGTATAGTTCGAGGCGAGCGTTAAAAACCAACTTTTTAGAACTAGTATTAAAAACGAAGGGCAAGTTTTGTTGGCATGGAAACATATTATGCTGTTTAGGAAACACTGTTATTTAACGGGGAAAATACTTCTCGTAGCAAACCTGAGATGTAAGAGACGTTCTACCAATAAGCCTATTTTCCTTATGCATGCCCTGACGGAAAGGGGGGGGGGACAGAAGGAGATAAAAAATTAAGAAACTCCTTTCTAGACGGCTTATTCGGAGCGCGTAAAAGGCCCATCCGCGGCGAACCATATACGATACCTCAGATAGATATCTCCCAGTGGATTACATTATTACATAGAAATAGGAAGCCATATAGGAGGACTTGAAAAACAGTGCTGTGCACTGATTACAGACTAGGAGAATCACTTTGTTGTTATAGCTACGAGCAATCTCCCAACGATTACCTAAAGAACTACAGTTAAGCACGGCAGCAGTGATTAGACGCTAAATACTGCCTTGCCAGCATCAGTTTATTTTTTTATTTTTTTGAAATTGTAGACAAAACTGAGCTAATGCTTCTCGCTTTACCGTCTTTCCTAGGTTTTCTTTTTCTCAGTACAGAAATGAAACTGGCAGAACAATAGCGTTGTGAACTGCTATAAAGAACAGCAACTAACAAAAAAGGTCTGAGGTATGCACGATAAGGTCCACCCAATAACAAGAACAAAAGAAGGTGGAAATCCAGTTCGGGGGGAAGGGGCACTCCATTTTTTCTCCAATACTCAAGATAAGGGAGGGCTCACGACACGTAATCGACTCATTTAAAGTAGACTTCTGATAAATA